TGTTCAAGGAGGGTCTGCATGGGGGGTCCTGGTAACGGTTAACGGTAAATTCAGCAGGTCCGATAACGCTTAACGGTAAATTCAGGACGGTCGGCAACGCTTAACGGTAAATTGACAGGCTTTTTTTCGAGCTGAACTGGATATGGTATCTCGCTTTGTGAGAAAAGGTGATCACTGACAAAATTACCTATACCTTACATGTAATGAAGAACGCATTTAAAAGGTATGTATTCCCTGTGTTTCCCACATGCCCTGGTCCCCTATATATAATGCGTCCACAAATAAAGGGGAGTCCGAGTCGACATTGGCCAAGGCTCTACCCAGTTTAGCCGTGGCGACTCTTGACTCGGGCTTACATTGCATTACCCTCAGCAAGAGTCGTGGAAAGATCCATTGGCAGAACTGCACATTTCCCGTTGGCTGCCCGATGCTCCGTTTTTGACCCGGTTTTTTGCTGTCCCGGGCTTCCCTACAATATAACTCCACAATTGGCCGGGTTGCCGATGTTTAGATCAGCCTAAATATTCCACAGCGCGACAGAAAAGTACTAAAATAGCTAGTCGGCACAAGGTGGCCGCCATCTTGGAAATAGTCGGGAATGTCCGCTACCGCCGTCGGGAACGCTCGGTAGCGTCACGATTACCGAAGCCCGACCGAAAGCGCTCCGATCATTTCCGGAAAGCCTACCGAACGTTCCCGACGGCGGTAGCGGACATTCCCGACTATTTCCAAGATGGCGGCCACCTTGTGCCGACTAGCTATTTTAGTACTTTTCTGTCGCGCTGTGGAATATTTAGGCTGATCTAAACATCGGCAACCCGGCCAATTGTGGAGTTATATTGTAGGGAAGCCCGGGACAGCAAAAAACCGGGTCAAAAACGGAGCATCGGGCAGCCAACGGGAAATGTGCAGTTCTGCCAATGGATCTTTCCACGACTCTTGCTGAGGGTAATGCAATGTAAGCCCGAGTCAAGAGTCGCCACGGCTAAACAAAACCGAGGTTACCACTCTAACAAAATCATCAATGCGCTCGGACATGGTAAAACCATCACAAATTTGATCCCGGGTAAAACAGATGATATTTTGTGGCTAATAAAATGCAATATTTACCGTCTGAGAGGCTATTGTTTTGGCTTGGTCCGTTGTCACAGAAACCGTGGACGCCATTTTGAAACACCTGGAGTTGTGACACCTGTTGACCTCTTCAAGTCTCGCGAGACTTTGAATTCAGCTATTCTGGGAATCATAAATATTTAATTTTACAGATCATTTCATAAAGGTTGATACGGCTGAAGAAAGAACAGGGCTAATTTAGACGTAAAGCAGGAGACCGCTTGCGTGAGTCAGGGACTGAATATCGCTCAGTTGCTGACATAGTTTTCGCATTCTTGTGGCGAGAGTTTGCGAGATTTCAAGCAACAAGATGGCGCTGGTAAACCGAAAACTGAAAGTTGTGGTATGTGACAATCATTTACTTTCTATAGTTTCGCCAGTTTCTTCATGTACCGATATTTTCGTACACTCTCGTATTATCTGACCAAGTCTAGATTGCGTCCTTACTTGTATCATAACCGATCGCGCCCTTGATTGTTGATTTTTAATGTTATCACTGCCAACGCGTTGGTAAGCAGCAGACGACACTCAACTATGAAAATAAATTAGTCTGTGCGATTTCTTGACGGATTCTCGCCAAAGAAGAACTAAAGTCCACCAAAGACACTGCGACGTTTGTCTATAGATGGTAGTAAAATCTTAAATTCGACTCTGTGACTTTCTCTAACGAAAAAAGCAGACAATTTGACAAGATTTTTTATACGTTATATCATAACTGATCGCACCGCACCCTACATGTGGCGTCCGATTTGTAGGATGCTGATTTATCGTAGTACATTTATCGGGATGTCAGACGACATGGACCAGGGCTAATCAGGATAAGTCTCATTAACACCTAGGTTAAGTGCTAACCTTGAACCCTAACCCTTTGACAATTGTCAGTGGTGCAGGTCTGACTTGTCCTGATCCCAATTTGTCACCATATCACGGTTAGCATACATTTATCAACTTTCTGAAAGTTGTGATGAAAGTTGCAGTAAACTGTTCATTTTCATTTTCCATGACAACTCCAATCTGAATTGACAACCAACCTGTTGACAACCAACTAACATACTCTGACTAGACAAATAGAATTAATTTGACTGATATTTGTAGGCATGTTTATTGTAATACTAGACATACTTTTCTTGCCATGAAAAATGTAAAACAGTATCTTTCAGCTGCCTTCTGAAAATACGTATTTGTAATAAAAATTTGACATTGATGAGTCATATAAAGATATGAAATTTAACACTTGGAATTTCAGAAATCTAGGACCATTTCAAGCCATAAATTCACAATTCACTGGTAACCATCAGTATTCAGCTCAGCACAGCAAGTCACGTAAATTTATATGTCCTGTACATGAATCGGTGCAGGCTAGGTACAGGTAGAGCCTGGTAGACATCAGAATTACCTGTATAGCTGTATACCTCCAAATTCACCTGCACTGAACTACATATCCAGGTTGTGTGTCAAGCCCTGCTGTCGACTTACTATGGTAACATTGATCTTGACCTTGCTTTCTTATTAAATGTAAGCTGTAAAGAGGCTGTTTGAATACCAAATGACAATGAACTTGAATAGATTCAGGGTTATGTCTCTTTTATCATAACCTTCCAGGTCATCTGTATCAGTTTCCTACATACTACTACATTGTAGTTCCCTGTTTAGCTGGCAGGGGTCACTGCTGAGCACTAGCTGGATGGTGCTGAAGAGTTAGGCGTCGATACAAGTCTTTTATTTTCCTGACCAGTCAGAGCCAAAGATCAGTTAGGCTTTTTATATAGAATCAAAATTCTGATGACAGGCTTTAGACTTGTTTAATATTATAATAACAAAAAAAGTGTTGGTATGGAGTGAATATTTAGCAAAGTTTTTGATTGAATATTAGTGGTTGTATATGATGATGCAGTGGAGTTTACTAGTGTACCATATCAGTTATCTAAAATAATGTTAGGGCTTGAAATTCATTTTTCACCCAAATATCTATGAAAAAAATTTGGGTATACAACGTAAGATAAAGTAGAATGTCAGCAAAACCTGCCAACAGTTGCGAGCTTTGAAAATTGAAATGAATGCAAATTTGATAATTGATTTTTAACTACTCTCTGATGAAGACTTTCTAAGAAAAAGTCAAAACCTGTAAACTGTTAGTCTCAGCCATCATCTTCTGATGAATCTTTCAACTTGACTACTACTGCAAAATCTTAATAAGTAAAAAGTAGTAAATGTAACAAAGGTTTTGTCATTTCTGATTCTAATTTATCTAAATTGTCGAGAATATACTATATACTAGTGTACAATAATACAATAGTACCTTACACAAATATTCAAGTACACTGGTAAAACCTGCAAGAAAATGCAGAGCTATATTTAGAGTGGATATATATATATCCACAGTGTTTCAAGTCCTAAGGTTGCAGAGCTCTGCATGTTGAAAGAGTTAATATCCATGAAGGATTTAGTCCAGAATTGAAGGTATCTTTGGTTCCACTTCCACTTGTGTCTACTTCATCTAAATGTCAAAAGATTTTATTCTTCTGCTCATCATACTATACATGCATGACTCCCATTTTTGCTGCTGGCAGGCCATTATGACACAGATTGAGTGCCCACTTACTGTAAATCTTGATTTTATTTCGCAGGAAAAGTTGACTTTTGTAGTGTTTTACAGTCAATTCCTGCCGATAATCCCACGTTGTGGGGCTTGGCAGTAGGGAAGATGAAGATAAATTTGCAGATGAAACAATTCTGTACAGTTACAACTCACAAGTAATACATGTAGTTTGGAAATACATATGGTGGAGAGGTCAATGTGTAACACAAACTCATTGCAAAAGTTTCAAGACTTGGCAGTATCTATTTAGTTTATCATGTTTCCAACGTAGAAGATGAGATGAAGGTAAAGAAAAAACATTCAAACAATTTTTAAAGATCTACATTTAAGAACAGAGTACAGATTTGTGTTGTTAAGAACAGAGTCTCACATAATAAATCATTACTCTCTTAAAGAATTAAGGGGGCACACCCCAGTTTATTTGGCGTCTCTATTGGAGGCTGCACACCCTCAAATCTAGCGACCGTATCTGGCGTGGAATAATTCGGAATGAGAATAACTGTATATTGGACGAAAGGATATCTCTTCAGCTACAAGACCAGCTGAGTTTGGTTTCTTCAACCTTTTTAAGTTTGGTAAAATCAACGGAAAAAACATTTTTTTCACTCCAAAATTAATGCCCAAAATTGCGAATTTTCGCGTAGGATAATCCCATAGAAAAAAATTTTCTGGCAGAAATGACTGATGCTGGCAGAAAGACCCAAGCCTTGACTATACTCGAGTAAATTATAAAGAAAATTCTAGTACTGTAATTTTCTAAACAGTCCACGGCGCGAGGGGTTGCAAATGCACCCCTACGAGGGCGCAGAGCGAAATCTAGGTCAAACGGGCGGATTACACTTGGCGCGCAAGGATACCCGGAAGTAAGGTTCGGAGCCAAAGAAATTTTCACCCCAAAAACACCACTTCCTACACTCTTCAGCCATGTTAATGTTTAATGACATTTCGTGGCAGTTTATGAGAAATGTCACCTCAAACTTGGACCCTCAAAACCCTTTCGTCACTTTTTTACAACGGACTATCACGGACCCCGGTCGCGCAAGAACTGGGGTGTGCACCGTTAAAGTTTCTTTTCACAAAATTACACCAACAGTATTCTGTTTATAGATATAAAAAAGGAGGTACAAAACATCTTGTTGCAAAATTGTTGTACTTTTGTACTTGTAAGTGTATGGCATATCTACCCGTTCAGGGTATGCAGCACCCAACCATGCCCACCCACTCCATTACCTTCCTAATAACCATGAGTGATGAGACCTGCCACCAAGGCTTACCTGTTATCAGCTTCTGCCAGCCAGAACCATTTATTATTGAGAGCTTTTTCCCATCAGTGAATTACTTGTACATGCCATTAGGGCAGCAAACTTGGCTGAACCTGACACTGTGCACTTGAAAGCGTATGGGCCCTGGGGGTTGGGGATAGACCACAAACTTGGATGTCTGGGTCTTACAGAAGAGGAATAGGCATGGTTTCTTATGCAGCTTAATATATATACCTTTCAGTGAAACCGAGAGGGAGTTAATTCAAAAGAAAATTGAAAACCCAGCTGCTGTTAAAGCATAGGCATTCTTCCTGGAATCCTTGGCAGGTTCCCTTTGAATATTTTGCCAATGAAGTTTACTGAACTCATTATTTACCCCACAGAATGTAATATCAAAACAGATTTACTGAACTGAAAAATAGTTTGAATGGAAGGATCTTGGGATTTTTTGGCCATCAGAAAGGACTTCTCCACAGACATGTGAGCGAAAGTGAAAGTAAAAGGATGAGGCTTATCAGTCTTTGTCAGTTAAAGACCTTATTAGCAAAAGAAGAAAGTTGAAGACTTAACAATTTATTGCTATGTATGGATGAATTATGGCAATTGCACAGTGTTCTCACTACGTTTCATTACTTGATTCATCTAAATTGGCCTTTACATAAACATAAGTTTCAGCCTCTCTTACACTGTTATATTACATTTATATTTCCTTCTTAAGTATTCATTATTTTCAAGTGCGAATGAATAAATAAGATAGAAATGAACACTTCAGTTCCCTTTTTACTTGAAAAAGACAAGAAAACATTCAAGCATATGTACTTAGGTAGGGAGAAAAAGAGAAAAGAATGGGGCTTCCTATCAACATTAATGCTTCATGAATAAAGAAGTAAAAACATACGTAATGAATGTAGTTTCAATCGCCTATTTATAGGATATAAATCCAGACTAACTTACACTAAGTTACAGACATTGACAACTGCACCAAAACCTTTGAATTGACATTGCTACATTGCAGAGGATTGTGTTGATGCCATCCGAGGCAGAATAAGACAGATTAGGTCTCTGGAAAAGAAGCTCTTATCTCCTGCAAGCCTCTCATCTTTATTAGAGCTTTGAGACTGTCAGAATAATGGATTACCCCTTACACATTGCCTCAGACATGGATTAAGTCGAGCATGTCCAGACTACACATCTAGAAGGAGGTTATAACCTTCTTGCATCTAGTAACTGCTACATGCATATCCAGGAAGTGACCTAGACAAGATTGATACTTAGCATATAGAAACAGCATCTGCGATTCAACAAGCACAACTGGCATTTTGTTCAGCACCATGGACAAGACCTGACTCATATGTTTCACAGCTGGTGTGCAGTGCCTTTGGGCTTTTAAGGAAGGTGCAAATTTGAGGTTGGTCAAAAGACATTATGTCCTTACCATTTGTTTATAAGTTTTAGTTATAGTAGACAATAATCTGTTGGTCAAAGTTGCTGGGTTTATTTTTCTATGAGGATTATCAAAACTGAAGAAAACCATGTATCCCTGCTACACAAGGTAAGATTGTATAACAGGCTGCTATCAGGTGGTGCTGGCAGTAAGGGATTATTTGATAGTCACCAGCAGCTGCTGTGAAAAAAAGGGAGGAGGTACAATGCCCCAGGGGGCACCATTAGTCATTGTCTGGTGAATATGGCAGGACAGCTCTCTGGAGAGTTGTCAGGCTCAGTTCTTTCAGAGAGAGTCTGGTCCTGACACTTGTTGTTCTGGCTACAGTAGTAGTGTCCGTTTGATGCCACTCCATGGTGTTGACTAGTAAAAGGGTTGCTTGATCCTTAGAGGAGACCATCTGTTTTCTGGACTCAAATGGCTGTATGGAGTTTTAAAGCCTTTTAACATCTGGTGAATGTTCATATTTTTTGGTGCAGGTGATAGGAAAAAGGCAAACCTCATCTCCCCAGGAACATTTTTCTAAATAACTGTTGCTCTTGATCCAGAATATTCAACACTACGAGATCTACCAGACTTATACAATACTACTGGTCGTATTACATATATCACATCTAATTTCTACAGAGACGAGCACTATAAATGATTATTTTAATGTCCTGTATGTACGTAATAGCTTTATCTATGTATAGGGCAGTAATTGTGCCCTATTGTTTCAAACAATAAAGATAATGGTGTATTTGCGTGTGGTTGCTATGTCAACTGAAAGGGTGTTGCCCAAATATTTACCTCCCACTTCAAGGGTCATTAAGCTGTTTGTCCCACATAGTGTAGTCTTGTCTTGGTGTGTCGAAGGGTGTTTCCACATGACTTCTTTATTTGTACATGTATGCCAGTAGTGGAGTATATGTCAGAACACTACAGATACAGGTAAGTCTCAGAGTCAGTACTGTATGACAATTATGACATACGGAGATGTTGTATAGTTACTAATATAAAAGCAACGAGGACAAGATTATAGCCATGTACATGTCATAGTAACTGAGATATCACTTTAAGTAATTCAGCATTGCAAACTGGAGTTGATAACACTGAAATCAAGCTTGATTAGAACAATTCTTCATATCACATTAGGCACAACATTAGAATCAATTTTATACTCATAGAATGGAATGCTCATGATAAATACTGACAAGGCCATTTCTATGCCTATATGATATGACTGGTGGATGCACTTTCACCTCTTGAGACATCTACAATATACCATAAACTCTGAGTTAACATTTGCTAGATAGAAATATTTTTGGTTTAACTGTCTCTTTTTCCTGTGGACAAAAGTAGTTAAATCAACCTTTGGGAGCACACATTTTAGTTGTGCAGAGTGAGTTTATAACAGTACTGCTGCATATCTCCCAGTGTCCATGCCTTGCCGATGAATGGGTGTGAAGCAGTGGAGTTTATTTGTTATGAAGGTGGCACCTAGGTGTTCTTTGTGCACAGTGAGGATAGCTTTCACCTCTCCCCAGTGTGATTGACCCCATGTCCTCACGTCTTACAATTGTGGTCATAACAGACCGGTGTCGTTGTACATTGTTGTGTTTCACCGTCACCTTATACTGTAGCCGCCCCGTCATTGCACCATCTGCCTACGTCCCATGAAGCATTACCACATTTCTATTGGCCCCATTCATTACATGGCAGATTGATTATCCATGAAGGCATGGTGAGGTATGCTAACTCTATTTTCTTGACTAGCCTGCTACTGTATATTCTTCTTTATCAACCAGGGAATACATCTGCCACTTTTCAGATTAATATGAAGTAAATTTGATAATAGCAATTTGAAAGAAGATGCTATTTCATTTAAGGTTGAACACTGAACAGTCTGTATACATGTATTGTATTGCCATTTTACATTGGGCAGTTGCAAGTCCCCTTGTATTTGGAGGTTCTGAATCCCTAATTTACTTGATATTGAATCCTGCAGGTGGTTGCTTACTGAAAGTAACTGAGTGTAAAACTGAATATCATGCTGCAGATGACACAAATGTAGCGAGAGCCGATAGCTCATTTGTAACCAAAGCTCCTCACGCTCCTAATGGAGCTCTATTCCCACTTCTCCTGATTAGATTTCTGTAAGATGTAGCCATCAGCCGGGCTTGTGGGCCTTAACCTGTACTAGTAGTAATCAGACTGAAAGGATTGGACCTCTTGGATGGACTATATGTGTTCTGAACCTGTGGGCCTAACAAGGTTTTGAACCAAATGGATCATTATTTCCCACTTAACCAAATCAACTTTCTTGAAAATGAGATTGAAACATGATGATCCTCTGCAAATGAGGTTCTGTGGGAATCAGTCATCATGCCAGTGGCATATCGTGGAGTGTGTGGGAGTGTGTGGGTGTACGTGCCGTATATGGGAGATATATGGTAGAGATAAAGATGTTTTTGTCATGGTGGTATGTCAAAATTGATGGTATTAGAGATAGATGCACAGTGGAAGCTTAGTTTTACTTGATTATGTGAGAGAGACAATGGCATTGATTTTCAGTATGTTACTAGTAATTAATGATACCAGTGTGTTACACGTTGATGCAGACTCTAGCCACTTATTCCATTTGGTGATTTCCAGCAGGTCTGAAATTTGAGGTCTTTTACTCTACCCTCAACTTTACCCCATAGTACTGATTCCAGAAGTAGAATTTTGTTTGAAATAAAACTGTTAATGATTCTTACAGTCTATTATTAATCATTTCAGCCAGCTTGTGTTACACATCAATTGATTTTTATGTCCTAATTCCAGCCAGGCTTTCAATTTTACAATTACTTTAAATTTATTAATGCTTGTTTACGATAGGACTGACACATTTGACGCTACATGGCACAAACAATGTTATTCTAAAATATCCCGTCTGTATAACTCCTCAAACAACATTATCCGATCTGTTCTCCAATCTGATGTAATATTCCGCAGCAGATTCTTCTGCAATATCTGGGCCTGTCCGTACTTATAGACATATTTTTACTACAGTAATTGTTATTATGTGTATTTTTATCTGTATGTTTTATATGGGCAAGTCATGCCTAAAATAAAGAAAGATTAAATTTTTTGCATGACATCTTTCATCATTTTTTAAGACATGTACACTCAGGTGTTTACAAGACATGCCACTGTACTTCTATTATTATATAAACCATCTTCAGTAATCTCACTAATATTTTAAAAGCCTGGTCTGTAAATTTACATTAATCTGGTTTGCCTGACACAAATCCCTGAAGAATAGATTAGTTCTGTGTAGTATGTATTGTGCCAGTCCATGTTTACACAGCCAAGGTCATGTACACTTTACACTCACAAAGAACTTCCTTCTCAGGAAGCAACCTTGTCGATTTGTCAGTGTAACCAGCAAGACATGAGAGCTGACGGCTTTTTTCTCCCTACAGTACAGAAAAGCAAGGACACTTAACTATTGTAGAAATGATGGTGTTCAGGTTAGGGTTGGTAAAAAAAATGCATGAAAGAAATCAATTTATGATGGTTACTGTAACTAAATAGTTCTCATTTTGTTCGTTGTATTTCAAGATGGAAAAAAATTTAGAATTGAGCATGCCTTCCATTATACCACATGTAACTAGAGAAAGCAATGTCAGAGATTATTCTTAGTAATGTATCATAATTACTTTGTTTTGCATACGGGCACAGGATTCACTGGATAAGTGTCCACCCATGACCCCTCTGTTTTGCCATTACCCAGGCACATTAACTGCCATTAGACAGAAGCTGCTTGAAGGAAACTCTTAGATGGTGACCTTTTGCAAATCCTCTAGATTTTCATGATAGTCTCTCTGGGCAAAGATAAATCAGTATACTGACCCCGTCTGTTTTGTCTTGCTTTAAAAAATATATCATGACTTATTTTACCCTCACTGGTATTTTTGGAAAATAGGAAATATTGCTAGGTTTCCATTGATATTATTTCAAATGTAGGAGTGACTTCTGAGTTACAATAATTATAGTCAAAGAAGACAATATGTCAGATCCCCTGGCTTGAGTAAGCTCTTTGCTCAGTACAGCAAAAAAATTAGCGAGCTACATTCAAAAGAAAGGGCAAGAGCTGTATCCTGGTCTTCACACTCAGCCCTTTCGTTATTCAATGCTGAAGAGCTCTTTTACCAATATTCAGACCCTTTCATCCTACGATCACTACGCATTCTATTGGCTAAGTCCTTCTGAAAAGAGAGCTATCCAGCTTGATGCACTTGTTTGGCCTATCATTCTCATTTGCATATCACCATGGCAACTGTCAATGTATACAACCTTGCCTGCCATTGTGTTTAGCCTGTCATGTAATGTAAGCCGGCTGGCCGGGACCTGAAAAGGCCTGACGTATGACTTGCAGTCAAATGTACAACAAATCATGCCTGCCGTCCTGTATTTCCAGGTGTTTTTCTTTTTACTGTTCTACTGCATGTTAACATAGTGACCTTATATTCTCTAGATAAGTTTGTTTTCACAGGTCAGGAGTTTAAGTCTGCCTGTATTTAACTGGAAACAGCACACTTTATGGCCCAAGGGGTTTTCAAGTGTACAACCTGTGAAGCATGTGACATGTTTTTTAGGCAAATGTCAGAGTGTAAATATATTGCTTGTTATTACAATGCTGCTGTATCTACTCTGAAAACATCATGTGGAAACGTGGGAATTTTTGTGATAACCTGGGAGACATTGTTATGCAGGCTGACATGTTGTTTATCCTTACCACAGGTGAAAGTGTGAAGAAACGTGATTAGACCCGGCGTGAGGAAACACACACCTCAAGACGCAAACTGACAGCTGAGAGGCACACTACACTGAGGCATTCCACCTCCAGCCTTTTCTTCAAGACTGGAGACAATTTTCAGACACTAGGGAAGATTACCTATCCAGGTTAAAGAGAGTACAGATAGGATCTTGTCACAGAAGAGTGGGAGGAATAATTTGGGAGAGACAGGCGTAGAGCAGTGTTGTAACAGGTGGGTGTTTACCATTCTGACAATTTTGACTAAACCGTAAAAGGCTTGATGTGTTGATTGTAGCATATGGTAAAATGGTTATTATACAATAAATAAGCCAAAGCAAAATTCTATCGATACTGAGGTGGCCTGTAATTTATCAGGGTGTATTTTAGCAAAGCACAGTTTTCTGTCTTGCCTATTTGTGTCGATATTGATACTGGTTGAATGGGTTTAATCTTAACAACCTAGAAGAAAGGAAGGAACTACCGGGTAGAACCTTTAAGTCAAATTGTACAATTATTCTTTTTTCTTTTAATTCAGTGGGAATAGAAGGTGTGTCACTCTACATTTCCTCCCTATGGTCTGCATGGTAATTAGATAATGGTACTAATCAGCTTGTCATCCCTTCCTGAGGATAATGCCCATGCCCTTAAGGCCTGGAAATAAAGGATGTCCCTTTCTAGGTATCATCCCATGCAGACTGTATCACTGACATGTTGTTGGAGGTTGTCTTTATGGACTAGAATTTCAAGAAACTTTACCGTAATCTATCTGAATGGCAGATACAAAACCTGACTGAGAGAGAACCGTATTGAATAAGAGAGAACCGTGTTGTGTACCTCACGGGGATTATTGCCACAAACAGAGGCCACTTCTGCCTGTTGGCTTTAGGAAGCCTTTCCCAAGATGACATGTTGACAGTAATGCCAATGGGGATTACTGTAGCTTCTGCAGTGTCTGTGTCCATGATACGTAGAATGAGATTCACTGCATTGGTGCAGGACTAGGACTATTGGGGCTGTACTGAACAAAATGGCTGCATGGTCGATATTAAGTACTAGTAGGCCCTCGATCTCAGAAATCTCATTTCAAAGTTAAATAGGAATCCCGTAGGCTTAGATATTTGTCTGAATCAGATTTAATCGATCTCAAGCAGGAATTTTACATGGTGCATGCTGCCTGCCTGCTGGAACCTTCTGGAATGTGTTTATCAGTTATGTAATAACCTCGCAAAGGATCCGATATTCTGTTATCTGCCCCCTTCAAGGTTGCTGAAATACGATTTTCCTGCCAGAAATTTGTGATAACCACATAGGCAGCCTAGCATTTAGCACTTGGGAATGATGAACATGGCATTTACGATTTTGATGCACGTTCAACGCAGACATCAAACTGTGCTGCAGGATCCCTCCTTGTAACCTCCTCAACAGATGTTTTATGTTCCAACAGTTTACTTTCAATCCATCTTCTTGTATGCTTATGGAAGTAGATTTATCAGATGATGGGAAAAGGCCTGAAGGTAATTTTAGCAGAAGGTCCTTATTCATTCAAGACAGAGGGGGACATTATCAGTGAAAGTCATTATAATTTATAAACCCTGTAACACTCAAGTTAAATCCTTCTTTACCTATTTGCATAATCTTTTCATCCATTTCATCAAGTTCTAAAAATACCTGTCATCAGCTTACCAGGGCTTCATAGATCAGAGTAGGTTCTTTGGACAGGTAGGAAATCAAGTTTCCAGTGGGGGGCTTCTCTTCTATATATTACGTGTACTGTCGTTTCTATGCGGGTTATAACTTTACTGTGAGGGAATCATATTGCAGTTCATCCTAGGGGTTCTGTGCTAATTAACTGTGGATGGGCAGGCATTATAAAGTTAAAGGAGCATTAACACATATGGGAATGACCATCTAGGCTCTAAGGCGGTGGAAAATTTTGGAGGATGATGTCAAATAAGAAATAAGCGGATCTGGAAATGGAATTCGAAATTTGTTATAATTTCAGGAATTTAAATGTATTGACATAAAACATGGAAACATGAGAACAGGATGGCGTCATTACACACATGGTTTATTCTGCATGATTACATATAATGTGAGAAATGTGTGTTAACTGTGCCACAGTAAGTCACAGTCAAAAGTTGAAGGCCAGGGTGAGGCCACTGGCTTGTCTTCTTGAAAATAATATAGGAAGTTTCAAGATTGTATGGCTGGCTTCAAGGTAGCCAGATTACAGAACCTGGTAGACCAAGGACAAGAAGGAAAATTAATGCGTAGTCCTCGTATGCCCCAAGGCAACAGAGGTTGTTACATCTTTGATGTCATTTGGCTTAGCTTCATTGTACAGTATGCACCTGAGCACAGACACTGCTAATATACTCACTAACATATATGCTAATCTCTAACTGAAGAGGCTTTAACCCTTGGATTGAACTGTAGCTACAGGTGATGTACCATTGCACCTGTTCTCCTTGTGGAGTCTCTGGAGCGTGGTGATAAAGTTGATATGTTTTATTAGTAGGTGATGACGATACTTTATGATGGGGGCAATTTAGCATGAAGCATGAAATGCTTAACTAAGAGGTACAGTGCTTTCCTGGGCGAAATATTCCCTTGAGGATTGTAAGGTAACTAATGCTTCAGAAGAAGAAATGGCACACATGTACATAATCTTACTAAGTAATATGCCAGTCTTCATTGTTTAGAATCATTTCGAGAAAAGCTACGTATTTTGCATTAACATGAATTGATCATGAGTAAATGACTCCTGTCTGCTTCAGCACACCAATGTTCCATCAGTATAAATGCATGTGCTAGTTTGTGTCTGTAGCCAACTCAAGTGCTTTCTGTGGTTCAGTTAATTCCACTGAGGAAGCTTTCCAAAGATGAGCATTAAACATTTATATGTCATCCTCTTATCGCCGGGATCATTACTGATTCACTCACTGAACCTCCTGATAATGTGGGTATTTGTTATGACTTTCTGGCTAGTTATGACAATATGGACATGCTGAAAAGGTCTAGACAGGCCTTATGTAGAAATCCATGTACCATGCCTACAATGCTGCTTACCCCAGATGGCAGTCAAAAGGAATCAGGTTTGAATAAAGCTATTAACCTTTCTACCTCAGTTCACTTGAAACTTGATAGTTCTGTTACATCTGCAGGGGGAGAAGCATCTGCCAACCGGGCTGCCACTTGACTTTCCCTTGTTATAGTACAGCAAGGTCATAACTCTCCAAAGTCATTGTTCCACTGGCCTGAGGGGGAAACATAATGCTATAAATAGAACATACTGTCTCCCTTGGGCATCATTTTTAACACCTGATCACATTATGGCCTTTCTGCTGCCAGAGGCCAAACCCAAATTGCCCAGAGCAATTTGTACCCAATTAGGATCAACTTGACTGATTGCTCTCTGCATAATTCATTCGGTTTCATCTGGTACACCTTATGTGTAACAGCAGGGTATGGCATGTAGATGGAAGAGGAATTATCTTTTTTTTTTGGCTGCAACAGTTTTGCCATGACCAGGATGAAATTTTAGAAATTTTTGTACCGTTGAATGCTATTCAGTATGTTTGGAATACAATCAATGACAAAATGTTATGTAAACTATGTAATAAAATTCACCAACATATTTCTTGTTTTTATGGTGAATTATAGCTTCGTCAGTCTGGGAAATAAAAAAGGATTCTCAGATATGGCAGGTAATTTCCTCTTGGTCGTCTCGTGTATTCAGCTGGTTTTGACAGATCCAGGTCACCTTAAGTGATTTACTAATTATTTCCTGCATCATGAATGAACAAAATCTTTTTTCGGGAATGCTATGTCATCAGAAATGAGTTACACGTAATAATATGATTTATTAAATGTCGGCATCACTATGGTGACCAATCACATGTTAGTGTGACGAACGTTGCAGATCCTGACAGGTCGTTATTTGTCAAGCCAAGTAAGGTGTTCGTAAACCTGCTTGTTTAGAGCCTAGATATAAATTCTATCACACCGATTTGTCCAGCATTTTTTTTTCATAGGTCTGTGCAAGCAAATTTCTATGGGTTACAGCAAAATACAATAGGGAGAATATTTGATACTTATTATAAGACCAATTAAAGGCATTCCTCCTTTTCCTTTTATATTCCTTATGTTTACTTCGGTCTTTAAGATAAACTTAGCTTTGGTGGATTCAAGGAGGAAATTGGTAGATTTGTAACTTTCTGAAAATTAAATACATGTAATTGGACCATACAATAAATATAAGACCTCACTTTTTAAATTTTGTATACCGTGACCATCATCAAGTCTGACAGCACTTTGTACCAGTCCAATGTTACTATCAAGACTGTAATTATTATATAATATGTGGCTGATTTGCTTTCATTGCATATCATGATCCGGAGTGACTTTGACTGAGTGCTTATGCCACCAGTTGGCATGCATGATTCATAACATTCAGCCCTTTCTATATATCACCTCTGGCCAAAAATGCCATTTCCTTCATATCATGACCACATCACATTATGGCCTTTTGGCAACTGAGAAAGGGTATACACGTTCATAGAGATTTTGTAATCTACTGTCATCTGTGATATCTGCTACTTATTATATGCATTATAAGCAGGATGTATGTTGGGTAAAAGAGTTTTCGTCGTAGAATATTGTGTCTTGCTGTAGCTACATCTGTGCAGCCAGTATAACCAGCCTTCTGTGTAACACACCAGATTTGCAGTGCATCCATCTGTATTGTACATGTAAGCTTGCCTGTCTTTGCTGATGTGTAATCTCGTCCTGTGTTTAAGAGGGTTTGTATCAAGTCCTACCAGAGATGTCAGTTGTAGATGATATTACCATACTGTAGCGTGAAAATGGCATAATGTGATCTCAAGGTGTTTGTATATGTCGTGAGTTCTTAGACTTTATAGTCAACCTTAACTACATTCCACAGACTTGATATTTTCACATTTTTGCACAGGTCATTATTTATGATATACCAGGTAATGATATTCGAGTGCTCTTCATGCTTAACTTGTCAAAGGAAGATCCCATACCAAATCATGACACATATGTACATGTAGCCTTAATAGCGAGAGCTTGCATGCCAAGTTTTGATAGGGTGTGAGTCAGAGGAGTGGCTTGGTATAGACAGTGTTTAATTCTTCTTGACAGGTGCATTAGTGGGAGAACTAAGTCGGCTTCCTGGACACACGCAGAGATGAACGAGGAGAATTTGTGCGGATGCTGCTGTAGGTTCTAAGTCTTTCTATTCCCACAGGACAGGAAAAACAGTGTGACGTTAGTCATCGTTACTGGAATTACGCATGGGAAAGCTTGGTAATGCAGCTTATGCTGGAAGCATTGCCGAAAGAAGGACACAGTTTTTTTAAAAGAGGATTGTGTCATCCGGCTCTCAAATAATCTGAGAAGGAAGTTTTCTGAGGGTTAGGGTTAGGTCTCATTATGATAAAAAACAGCATGGCTTGATTTAAGCTGTGCAGACCTCCACTAGGCTGTTTCTAAGAACAGCTACTTGATTTTCTGAACGCAGGACAAGTGGGACCATTGGAAGGGTATGATAGACTATAGTAGTTAACTTGATAGTTGTACCCACTGGGATGCAATGTTATAGCACTGATATGGAATTTAATGTGCTGGTGATGTGGTTTTTGCAGACCATTTAGCACTCTGGATCTTGTGCTTCTCTCTCTCTACATGTAGCTGAAAAGGTTCTGAATCAGTAAGTACCACTTGGGTCGGTAATGTTGAAGAGCCTTGTGTCTCCCTTGGCAACCCATCAAACAAAAGCCTGCCCATGTGTAGGAATTAGAAGGCTGTTTGGTAGAGTGAGGATGGCTGGCCGTGGGCCCAGATGCTGTTATGGTATGGTGTGGTTGTGTATTGGTAGTTTGATGCCATGTTGTTTCATTTGTTGATATTCTTGGAAGGGTGTGGTTTGTGTGTTCTTTCTCCGTGGTGCTGAAAGTACATTCTGTGTTGTTGAGAAATTTTTTGAACAACTCTATACTAGATTTGCCCTGGCACTACTGGCCTGTTAAAATGCCTATCACTATTATTAGTATTAACATGTAAGTGATTGTAATCTGTAGTGCTTTTATCCGATAGATTGATGTGTTGCAACAGGTGAACTTGAAACTGTCTTGTTAGAATCTGATGTCCAAAGAATACAAAAACTGTTAAAACACCTGTCCAAAGAAATGCCCTTGTTTGTTGGGCTAGGAGCAAGTTGTCTCTATTACGTCAAAGCTGCACATCATACCAAGCCTAAACACTCGCATGAAGGGCCTTACCATTCCCTTGGCAACAGGGTAAACAAGTGGTCAAGTTAGAGGGCTCACAGGTGCAAGAAAAAAGGATGGCCAGAAATTTGGACAGTACCAGCATTGTGTGTTCCTCTTGTAGTTTAACTTGAAACTGGTAATGTCTGCTGTAATTTTTTTTTAATTATTTGTTTTCTTCTTGACAGAATAATTCATTTTTGGAGATGAGTCTTCAATTTCCTAATACAGCTGATGGGCAGGACTCGAAAGTTTTAACATATTGTGTTACGATGTGTTTCAGAATGCAAGGTGAGGGGGACTTACTGAGAACTTGCATTTCGTGAGAAGGAAGATGAATCGAAGTCCCCCAACCCAACCCCCAATGGCACCACCACGGGAGCCCGGTCAGCAGCCCCTGTCCGAAGTGGACCGCTGCAAGAACGTCTACTTCTGCAAGAGTGGAGACCACCATTTCTCAGCCTGCAAGGTCCCCATCACCAGAAAGAACTTCAGAACCTTTGATGCTCTTCTGACGCACCTGTCCCGTCGAGTCCCTCTGCCGTTCGGCGTACGTAGCATCCATACTCCAGGCGGCATCCACGGGGTATCATCAATAGAGCAGCTGGAAGATGGGAAGGCGTACGTCTGCTCGGACAGAAAGGGAAGAGCCAAACCGGTGGATCTGTCGCTTGTATCACGAAGACCACAACCGTGGCACCACAGTAAGCCTGACAGTGCTAAACGACGAGCGTTGCTCCTCAGCCCAACACGCAAGAGAGTGAGCAAGACCTCCTCCAACGCATCGACCGTGTCAAACAACCTGACTGTCCGAACACCAAAAAAGATTCTCGTCATGAAAAATGGGGACCCTTCGCACAAGCACGTTTTTCTGCTGAATCGGCGGACGGCGCAGAACTTTGAGAACGTGCTAGATGATATTGCTCAGGTCTTACGCATCGCTGTCCTGAAGCTCTTCACAGTAGAAGGAAAGAAGGTAAGTTTAAAGAATATGTTTTGTACCATATGGTAGACAGGAAAGTATATTATTGTCTTTTCTTCAAGCAAAGGTGAAGATTATATGTGCCATAGTTTATAAACAAGGGTTTCTCCACACAACAAACATATCCTTCCACAACGCACCCTTCTACAACAGCTATTTTGGATTCATTCTGTGTAGAAAAAAATGTTTCAAACACGTACAAGTAAAAGGAATGGCAGTTAACTGTTGGTTCCCTTGTACACGTGTATTGTAGATGTAACACAGGTCCTGCGTGTCGAAAACATCCCTTACGGAGTTACGGGTGACAAACACATGGAGTGTCTGCGGCACGCTGGGTAAACAAACGTGTCAGCAAACACGTTTGTCAAGCACTTAATGCCGACTCAAGGGTGGAGGCAACAAAGCCTGATTTCCCTGGTGTTTCTGCAGAATGTTGCTTGTAGAGTTCACTGCACCTGTGGTTCCTGTTACTCTGCTCTAAGATTGGTTGAGGATTTCTCTCTCGTGAATGTACACACACTGTCAGATATGACGGATTTGTCTTGTAGTTTCAAAGGGATTGGCAACTATAAAATGTCCTCTTTGTTTACCAGTTTGAGGTCTCATAGAATAATCTGGGAGACAATTTGCTATTTATAAAGCCTTCGCACCTGTAGCACTGTAAAGCAAATTACAACTAACTGCTCTGAAATCAAATCAGATTGTTACCTCGGGTACCCTTTTTATGAAGTTTTCTCTCTTACATTTTGTATCTCTATTATCAAAAATGGGTTTCCAGGTAGACAGGAACATACCAGGTAATTGCTGCCAGACAATGTGAGGGCTTAGTGCACATTTTTTCTGTTAATAGGAAAAGAATATGGAACTGAAACACAACATTAAATTTTCACAAAAATAATGAACTTGAGTGTACTTGTGCTTGCAAAACCACGCTTTTGAGAGCTTCTGTTACAGTAATAGAACTCACAAAAAATAGGAAAGTAAATAAGAAAGACCATTTATTCCAGAAGGACCCTTCAACTAGATTCCTTTCAGAAGGAGTTCCCAGGTGAGCATCTGTCCTTTGACATGGTCTTCTGGAGCATGTCAAGGATGGCTGAGAGGAAAATCCAGTATTTACCTGCGGGTTAAGAAAGGATCTCACCTTAAGTAGCACACCTGGGTCTCAAGACGCCTCCAAAGGAAATGACAGAACAGTTCAGATACACATTACATCACCGGGCCAGGATCAGAAGTAATCCTGCAACCTTTCATCTTTGTTATGTAGACGTGCAGGTCATGGTTTTGCAGCTACATGTAATAACATTGTTTCATACTTCCGACCTTTTGGTGGGTGATTTGTAGAATGAAAAATCTGGAAAAACTGGAAACAGCACCCAATATTTTGTTACTAATTAAACTATTTTTTCTTCCTTGCATATAATACAAGTTGAATAGAATGTGCCAGACGAAAAATGAAATGCTGACAAAAACAGTTTTCATCACATGCATTTCATCTACGTGTACTGGAATATCTACTGTGACAGTTACATCTCTGTGAAAATTGGCTGTTTGAATCTATTACCGTATCTGCAACATTCAGTGCAAAACTGGACAGGCATATATACAAGGACCAGGCATAAGGGAAACACACATGTATGCATGTGGCAAGCCTTTATTATAGTGTAATGAGGAAGATTCCAGGTCATATCCTGTGAGAGGCATTGGTGCATTCTGATGCCATAAATCACTGTGTTTTGAGCATACACAGGGGAAAATAGAATGGGCTCTGATGGGCAAAAACATTCTTATCATTGAGAAACAGAAACACGTTCTCTAAATGGCCCTAATTAATGGCAAAGGGCTGAAAACAAATCACCCACTCACGCAACTGCATCAGATTTCTTCTTATTTGTTTCCAGTTATGTGTCCCTTGTGTCAGGATTATGCGTTGTGCTTACACACTTCTGTAATAAGAACAATTTGTGAAGCAGCTCCTAATGAAAATTGAGCTGTAGGTGGTTGAATGCTGGGGACAGAGATGGATAGCATGTTCGCTAATAGAACAGGCATTTTGATCCAACCAGTGGACATCAAATTGGGCTGTAATGACATGTTACCCTGTGTGATGAAATTTGTTGTACACGTAGAGAGAAAAGTTTTCAACAGTTTGCTGTCTGGCTGACACCTGTCAGCCATGGTAATGACTTCTTTGATGTCTGCCATGCATAGTGTATAAGAATGAAGTAAACAGGGGGATTAGGATCAAAAGGAAGAGCCTGTGACGTTGCTATTCATTCGTTTCTCCACAAATGCGAGCATTCCACATGTGCCATGACCCCTAGCAAGACCTCCATTTGGCATAACCCAGTTTTGAGGTAAATCTGCCATAATGCTGCAGATCTGTTCTTTTCCACCTAATTACTCAGATTTGAAATCCTCTTACTGGATGCCCAGTTGCTACAAACTTCTAAACATCCTGCCGGCTCCGCTGGCTTTGTTTACGTTCTCCATGGCAACCTTTGTTGGAGGGTAATTGGGGCAGTTGACCTCGACCCTGGAAAAGTTTTGGGTGCTATGGCGACCTCATTCCTCCATGTACGCTTGTTATTCTGCAAAATTGAATTGTATTAGACTAAGTCATCTTTTATTTTCTTGGTCTAGAGCACAACCCATCCAAAGTGTTGCAAAGTTTTAAGCATAATCAAACTTTACACTGTAGGACTGAAGGCAAAATCCTCTGTTGCTTTGCTTTCTACTTCTGGTAGCGTAACTATTTACTCTGCCTTCTGGAGAAATCTGACAAGGTCATCTCTAACAGTGAAATTAAGTTGGTTGCTATCAGCTGTGCCATCATTTATGAACATCAAAAGCCTATTTACATAATCCACATGTTTGTACATCTGTGGTTAATGATGTAAGAGGCTGATAAGTTGACTTCTTGTCAACATTAAGAAGAAAACTCTTCTCTTTATTGATTATTTTGACAACATTTTTTCATCTCACATAATTAAAGCATGTTAATTATAGGTTCAGAGTAGATTATTGCAGAAAAACAGATGCCTCCTCAGATAAGCGAGGCAGTAATTTCTCACCAGACATCAGTCTGGGTTCATTAGACTGGGTGTGTCATTAAGGCTTTGCTACCATAGTTACCTAATCAAATGTCACATCTTCAAAGTAGGGTGACACTCTCAAGGGGAAGCTCATCAGTTTTCAGCTATTGTTAAAATTCATATAACGTTATTGTAGTTAACTGAAATGTTCTTGGCATTCATTACAGCCAATGTATCCTCCCTTGGATGGTTAAGATTGTACATCTTCAGTATATCTGTGCCTACATACTAGAGTAGAGAGTTTGAATCAGTAATATCAGCAAGTTGATTACTATTATGGTAAATTTTTGATCTTGCATGCCCTCAAGATCCAAGGAGAGTTGTCAACTTACATGTAGCTGTATGTCTGTGATTTGTTTCACACATAAATTTGCTTCTCTGTGGCAATTTACTTTCACAATAAGCACTTTACATTGGAGCCTTTGTTGTGCATTAGTAACCCTGTCGTAATCTACAGTCTCTTAAACCTTTAAGGAATTTTCCATTATCTGCATTAAGACTGTTGAACTGAGCTGCACATGTAATGTAAAGCTCTTAAGAAGGTGAGGCATTATGGCAGAGGGCAAAAGGGCAGACACTTGGAGCAGGCACACTGATACACATCCAAGCCATTACACTCTTGTCATGCAGCTATCTGGACACATTTGGAAGATGAAAATCATCTCTGGCAACATGTTACAAGAAAGTGGCAGTTTCTCATATGTACTTTTTTTTAGATGAAAAAAATTGCACATTGGATACAGTGAGAGATGTAGTGTGGTATTATTCCAGCAAGAGTAGGCTAGGTCACACTGCAGAGTTTTGTACAGAAAATAAAACTTGTTGATCAATTAAATAGTCTATTTTCAGACTGAGGTCAGGTTTTCCCCATGTAAGTAAAAAGTTGCTCCATCAGCAAAATATACACTTGTAAGTATTAAATACTGTATCATCAAATATTGTTGAATGTTTGCTCTTCTTCTGTTGTTGTAAATTCATAGTGCTATGATGGTTCACCAGAACTCTAAGCAGATTTAACAATACTTACGAAAACAATCAACAAGTTTGTTTGTTACGACTCAGAGCCATTGTTGTTCCTTAAGGTTGACAGTTTGCAAGGTGTGTTCAGCGGACCTGACGTGTATGTAGCAGCCGGGAAGGAAAACTTCAAGCCCATGAATGGCCCCATAGCCTACGCCCCCCACCCACCCAACAAGCCACCCCGGGACAGAGAGAGCAGGGCCACACGAGACACGGACAAGAGAAGCCCACTGAAGCCCACCGAGCCCAAGAAATCAAGTGAGTGCTGCTTTCATTGTCTTGCATAGTATGCTGATGCATTCTTCTAGACGTATATACTATGCATTTTCTTTAAGTAAATTATATAAACATGATGGAAAATTTGGAAATGTGCTATTTTTGTGTTTGCCAGTTCATGCCTGGGACATTTTGTTGGAAAGAGCTGTTTATTTCAGGATTGATCAGTGCTGGGTTATAGCTTGGAACAATGATAACAGACAGCAGTATACTGGTATAGCATTTAATTTAGATGAAAGTGGCAAAAGTACAGATAAACTCAAAAGTTTCCATTGAATTCAATTATTTTCCAATGACTTTTCCAACTCTCGCAACCATATAATCAGCACCAAGGACAGAACTTCCACTCTGTTGATCACATTTCATATTTTTAAAGGAGTGTGATTATATCTGAACCAGTAGTTTGTCTTACTTTATAAGACCCAGGCCTGAATGCACAGAAGAGGAATGGGAAATGAAATGATTAAACCAAATCTGTTTTTGATTGAGGTTCCCCAAAATATATCCGGAGAAGTCAAAGTTGGTCACTATTTCTCTTCTCATGATTATCAGTTGGCTTGCTTAGAAAATCTTTATCCAAAGCATTGAAATGCTGTTATCCATTTTGGGAGCATCAAATCATCCTTGTTATACATGGTAGCAACAGTCACAGGCATCAATCATTGCTGCTTTGCTCCAGGAGTGTTGCCAAGTTAGATTGAATCATACATGATTAACACCTACAGCTGCCTTTATATACATATCTACATCTACGTGTAGGCTCTAGGGTAGATGCTGGGCTGACAGCTTGCTAGTGCTAATGAGTGTGCACTATCATCAAATGTATCTCTTATCGACATACATTTCCCTGTGGTATGACCTCATTTAGGTTGCATATAGTGCATCAAATGTTATCTATCCCAATGCACCTGTATTACAGACAAGTTTTTTCCCTTTAGATTAGCAGTATGAAAGTGTTTCACAGCTTGAAACAGCTTCTATTCCAGGTACACATCAGCATATGGGACTAAAACTCCCCCAGAATGTTTGACAGCTCAGTGTTACTTCTTTTCTTTTGGTGAAATTTGTTATATCCACATTATCCTTGCAGCCATTTTGGTTAAAATTTGCTGCTATTATGCTGACACAGACAAACCATTTCTGTGGAGGTCAGATATGGAGTTTATCCTGTACTGTACATGTATTACAAATATCAGTGATACCTTCTGACAGTTTGATCTGGCCCAGAAAAACAAACCACGTCTGTGCTTGTCATGATTTCTGCAAATTTCATCCTACATGGCGGCGGGGATAACAGAGCAGCAGCAGGCCACGGGAGCGTAGTCCGCACTGCCAGGCTGCCGTGCAAAGTCCCGGATTCAAAGGAAGCCCCTGCCGGAACAATTAGACACAAAGTCCTTCAAAGCCAGGGTGATCTGGCAGATGGGAACATGGAGACTGTTAATAGAAGTCTAGTTGTGAAACGTAATGAGTGTGTTAGTTATAGCATGCCAAGCAGGCCACAAGAGGTTACTGTTGGATTTGTAGTGGCAGGGAATGGAAGGTCACACGTAGGAGAGAGTGCTGATAGACTGCACGATAGTAGAGGTACTTCTGTGTCTCAGAGTAGTAGAAGCACCATGGAAAATGCCCACAGTAGTAAGGGCAATATTCAAAAGAACTCACGTGGAGCAGCAATAAAGAAAATACCATCCCAGCCCTTGACTAATAGCAAAGAGGATGGAGACGAAAGCTTAGAGACTGAAGTCTTTGCATCTGTGGATGGTGATAACAGCAACACTGCTGCAACTGCTGCAGAAAGTGCACACTCCAACTATAATGGTAGAACTCGTAATGGCACTTGGGAGAGCAGTGAACAAGTGAGTGATATCAACGATGGCATACATGACAGTAAGCCTGAAACACAAGATGATGTCCAAATGGGAGATGAAGCTGAAAGCATACAAAATACCCCATCCTCTAGGGTCCATGGCTCACGACAATCTCAGTCTAAGAGTCTGTACAGAGAGGATGTCAGGTCCAGCAGGGATTCTAGTGAGAGACTTGCAAGTAAGGAAGACATTGCCCCACGTTCCCCTCACTCTATTGAAGGCGACAGAGATGATGAAACCGTGGTGAGGTCAACAGTTGAAGGTACTGCAGTGGAAGGTGCTGTAGGCAGTGTAGAAAAGGTGGGGAATGGCAGTGTGGCCGGGAAAGGACGTACCATGGGAGGCAGTGACACAGGGATCCAGCAGCGAGTGATGGGAACATCAGAAGTGTCTCCTGAGGCTGACAGCCTACAGAAGTCTGAAGGGATTAGGAGGAACATGGCTCAGAACAAGCAAGAACAGGGTCGGAAGCAGCAGCAAAAGAAGAAAGCATCGGTGCCGGCGCCAAAGAGGGGGCAGCTGCCCAAGGTCAATGGCACTCAGAACGAAAGCCATCAAGTGGATTCCAGGCTTGTACGGAGACATGAGACAGGCAGCCTACACTTACCTGACCTAAAAAGTAACAAAAGAAACAACGGTATGAGGCACACAAGGGAGAGGGAGATGCAGAGAAGTACTCAACCTGCGAGGAGGACTAGGGTAGATGGCAGAGAACTACCTTCAGTGGCAGCACCAGATGTGCAACATGCAGAACTGGAGGACATTTTAACCAATGAGTCTACCGTTCCAAAAAACGTGCAGGGTGGGATGGGAGGGAAAAGTGAGAACCGAGAGGTGTCACAGAAACAGCAGCTCCAGCAGAGGAAGAAGAAGATCCGCATAGATGACACTTTCCCTCACATCCCACTCTGGGTTCTGTGTATTGTCCAGAAATATTTCTCCATGTATCGACGTCAGCATGAGAAGGTCATGAAGATTCAAGTAGTTGTGGAAGAGTTAGAAAAGCATGGCAAGAGGGGGACAGTTCCACGTAGTGTTAAGGTCGTATTGTCCAAGCCAACTGTATCGTCTGAAGATAAGCAAGTAGTAGAGAAACATTGGTCAGAAGTAAGGGAGGCTTGCGAGGGGTGGTGCCTGTCCACGGTGCTGAATGCAAGAAAGCAGGAACACAAACGTCTAATGGAGGGACTTGAGAGCATCAAGCGAGAGTTTGACCAAGAGCTAACACAGGTGATTTCTGATAAAGGTAGCAACTACCAGTTAGAAGGAGAAGATAACAGGGACCTTCAGTTAGATTCACATCACCTGGATCATTTCTATGAGCAAGCCAAGATCATGTTCATTCGGATGATCCAGAAAGTCACAGGAGTTGCTGGAGGAAGTACCAACTTCCAGCAAGCTGCCCTTCCAACAAAAACACTACGTCTTAGGCTAGGCAAAGAAAAGAAGAAGAAAAAGTCCATGTCTGACTACCAAGAGCTGTACAAGATCCACAGTTACGAAATCGACACGGAGTTACAGCACAAGAGGCTTGGACCTGGAGGGATGCTGGAGATGAGTAATTCTACAACCCTTGACAGCACTCCTAGACGACAAAGGCTAAGACGACAAACACCGTTTAGGAGACTTAGGCGACGCTAGTTGTCATGTTGGCTCAGATTTGATTTTTATAGGAAAGAGGCATTTTTTACAGATTGAGCAAAAGGACAGTCTTCTGTACTATACAGAAATTAACAAATACTCAATTGTGCCAGGTTACCTGTGTTAGATTATTACTTTGCATGCTGAATGTGTTTTTAACTTGTTGTGCCAACACCATGAATGACAAGTGCTCATATGTGAATGTTTTAGTGAGTCACCTTCGGGCAGAACAAGGTAATGTTACAGATTAGGCAATCCAGGAAAGGTTGAATGGCACAACAGTTCAGACATGGTAGTGGAAAGTGCATTGCTGTGCCTGAGGCGGTAATTATCGTAGCGCAGAGAAGGTAATCTCCTTACCACACTGGCAATGTTGTAGTCAGATACCATGCTGAGTTAATGGTCTGCCTCTTATATTTATAGCTGCTTATTTCGATGAAGCACGACTGTATTTCTGTGCAGGTGTCACATTTTGTACATTAACAGCAATTTTGTTGGCCACAAGGCAACCTCTGATGAAGCCTGAGGCCATAGCCTGTTTAACAAGTTTTCCATAATGAAATAAGGTCAACGGGTAAAGAAAAGGTTTGATTGTGATCTTTCTTACCTGGAATATTCCAACCTTTAATATCATACGAAACATTAGGTAATTCAAAGCGTGTGTTGCTTTCATGACAATTTGATTTTAATAACTTTTGCATTCCACAATGAAAAACACAACATTCTTTACATTCAACTTTTCTTAACATTACATGAAACAAGTAACAGTAGTTTTGCTGGTTGATAGATGTAACTTGAAGTGGCATCAAATTATAGGTGATAGCCTAGGATCTATTTACATGCCATTAGATTTTCTTTTCAACATAAAAGACACAAAATTAGCTATAGTTACTAAAATAAGATTTCCATTGATTAATAAATAATTATGCTACCTACATGTAAATTAGTTTGAGCCTATTCAAATTATGTAACTGCTATATTTTGAGTATTTAAGTTAGAAAAACATAGACTAGTTTTAATTGATATTGTCTTAAGAACCTATATACTAGTACTCTGACATGACATATGAATACCTAACAGTATACTTTTTACTGTAGTAATTCATGAAAATTGGGCTGTATGCTTTTTAACATGTATCTATCAGCAAGACTTGACTGCATGTAGCCGCCATTTGATGGTGTTTTGAATAGTGAAGGTACATGTATTGACTGTGCAGATTTCATGCGCTGTACCAGCAGAGATAGTTGATGTTCGATAAGGCTAAGTTATTTGTTCACTGTTACTTCTAACCTATTACGCTGACATATCAGTAGATGGAGTACACTGTATACAGAATAAGATGATAAGATAGTACTGAACAGGTGTATTGTAGAGCTTACTTACACTGAGTAGATATGACTAAATTAAGTTGAGTGTGTTCTGTGTTGAGCAATAAAGTCTTTATGTGCCAGTTAGTAACAATTTGTCATT